TCCGTATTCCATTTAAAACGCCGACGGCCGAGAAGAAAGTGGCGCCACCGTTTGAGAACGGTGATGAACGCGAGTAGCTCTTTCTTCCTAGCGTCGTCGAGAGTGTTTACGAGAGGCACCTTTTGGGAGAAGTACTCGACCAGATGCCAACCGTCCTCGTGACACTGTTCCAACACCGCACCGATACCGTATCCCGAAGCGTCCGTAGTCACTTGGGTGGGTAGGGTGGGGTCATATATACAGAGGGCAGGTGCGGCTTGCATTGCTGCCTTCAACGTAGCGCACGCGTCACGGGCTGTGTCGTCAAACTCGAAGGGCACCTTCGGGGACTAAAGTCTCGACAAAGGAGCAGCCACTTTCGAGTACGTCTCGACGAATCGCTGATAGCATCCAACCAATCCCATGAAAGAGCGTACATCCGTCGTGCAACGGGGTTCCGGCCAATCCACGATGGCTTGGATCTTGTCCRCTAAGGGACGAATGCCTTTCGGCGTGACAAAATGACCCAAGTACTCAAGCTCTTGCTTGGCGAATTCGCACTTGTCGAGATTCGCTTTGTACTTGGCTAGTCGCAAACGATCCAGAACAACGCGAAGGTGTATGATGTGCTCGTCCAACGTCCTACTGTAAACCAAGATGTCATTAAGGTAGATGAGGACGCTGCGATCGAGCAAGTCGTGAAACTCAGTCGTCATCGCCGCTTGGAAACTCGCGGGGGCATTGGCGAGGCCAAAGGGCATGACAACCCACTCAAAATTCCCGTACCGCGTCTTGAACGCGGTCTTGTACCAGTCTTGAGGCTGGATTTCAATCTGGTGGTAATCAGACTTCAAGTCCAACTTTGAGAAGTACATGGCGCCGCCTAACCGCTCAAGAAGATCATCAATCCGAGGGAGAGGGCCGTCGTTCTTTACGGTTTTTTTCCGATAATCGATGCATAGCCGTAGATCTTTGTTCTTCTTCCGGACGAAGAGAACAGGGGCACCGTATGGCGAGCAACTAGGGCGAATCCAGCCCTTGTCGAGAAGGTCATCGAGTTGTGCGCGAAGCACCTCGAGTTCCTCTTCGCTCATGCGGTAGATACATCCACGCGGAGGGACAGCGCCAGCCTCGAGAGTGATCCCGGGACGTATCGGCCGATCCGGAACCGTTCCGGTGGGAG